AAAGGAAGCCGTTGAGCAGCTGATTGGCAAGCGATCAGGAGGGAGATAAGACTGCGGGTAAAGGAGGCTGCCAGGGGAGGGGGGGATGTAAAGACAGCAAACTTGCAAGGAGAGGAGACAGAAATACTAAAACAAGCAATGAGAAGAGGAATTAGTAGAAAAGGAGGAGCAAAAAACTGCTCCAGCTAAGGAAAAGACGCTAAGGCAAACAAGAGGGAAGGGGGTGTTGAAGCTGCTGAGCAGCTGATCGGCAAGCGATCAGGAGGGAGATAAGGGACGCTAGCAATAAAGGGGGCTGCCTGGGAGGGGGGAGGTAGAAGAACATGGATCCTCAGGATTTTTGCATTGGGTCATCCCAAATTCACCATCATATCGCATAGCGTGTCCATGGCTATAGCCTGCAACAACAAAGCACACATCCACTGTTTTGTGGGGCCACAATGGCACAAAAACATGGTTACAAAGCATGGATCCACATGGATTTTCAGGATTTTTGCATTGGGCTACCCCAAACCCACCGTCAAATCACATATCATGTCTGTGGCCACAGCATGAACCACAAAAATCATACATCCACTGTTTCATTCAGAATATTTTTTTTCTTGTTTTCCTCTAAAAACTAGGTGAGTCTTATGGTCAGGTCCATCTTATGGAGCGAAAAATATGGTATGTTTCTGGTGTGATACTATAAGGTGGACCTGCCTTGTAACCATCAGCAGCACCTTTTCTTTAATTGCAAGCTGTCTCAAAAAGTCACCTCTACTGAGGTTTTGGTAATTAATATGCAAATTAATTAAATGTCACCTGCCAGTCAGTTAAAAGGCAGGTGATTAATCAGCTAAAAATTATTGCTTCATTTTACACTTCAGCTTTTAAGATGTCAGTATGAATGCAAATGGATGTGCTAAATACCAATTTTAGCCTACGTTTCATAGCTTTCACCTCAATGCTCATTTTATTTTCCCCCCGGAACACAATATATGTTGAAATAATAATTACTGTTATTATTCTCCCACTTATCTATTGCTGAATGACTTACAGCATAACTATAATACAATTTAATCAAAGAAATGCATTAAACAAATTACTAAAAGCAGTGATCTACAACATTAAAATCTGACTGCAATAAAGCAAAAAAGATACTATTATTATTATTATTGTTACAATTTATATTCCACCCTTTATCAAAGAATCTCAGGGCAGTGTACAACATTAGAAACACATTACAAAACATCAAGGATAAAAACATAATAAAAACATAGCAAAAAGCATACTGACAAACACACATGTGGCAGCAGTGATGATAGAAATGGCTTCATTGAAACAAGTTGGTCTGTTTTGATACAAAAAGGGAGACTGGCAGATTTAAATAGGGAGATCATTTCAAAGTAACATCACCACCGAAAAGGCCCTGTCCTTTGAGCTCATAACATAGGAAGCTGCCTTCTACTGTGTCAGACCATTAGTCCATCTCATTCTACACCAGTGTTTCCTAAACTTAAGTCTCCAGCTGTTTTTTCAGACTACAATTTCCATCATCCCTGACCACTGGTCTTGCTAGCCAGGGATGATGGGAATTGTAGTCCAAAAACAGCTGGAGACCCAAGCTTGGGAAACACTGGCAGCTGCTCCCCATAATTTCAGACAGGGTTCTCTCCCAGCCCTACCTGGAGATGGTAAAGATTGAACCTGGGACATTCTACATGCAGAGCAGATGTTCTACACCTTCCCTGAGATATTGCAAGATGGCATCCAGAGCCAGCCTTTGTGGAGGATCTTAATTTCTCCGCAGGACTATATAGAAACAAGCGAACAAGCAACAGTAGCGCCTGAGATAATAACTATTTGATTTCTCCCCCATGAACAGAAATCATGCCACAAGCATGGCTGAAAAACATTCCCCGAACTTGACCAAGTAGCAGATTAGCAGCCAGCGCAGATCCCACAGAGAAGGCATTATATGCTGGGGGTAATTTCTCCCCATAAAAAGCCTAGCCACTGCTCCCAGTAAAGCATAGCTGTCAACTTACAGATTTGAAAATAAGGGACCAGCAGCCTTGAAAATAAGGGACCAGCAGCCAAAATAAGGGACCTGCAGCCTCACCTGTTCCAGGCACTCCAGTCTTCCTGTCCTCCTGCAGTCTGGTCAAACTCATGCTGGTAGCTTCGAGAACACTGTCCAACCAACTTTGTAACCAGAGGTTCAACTGAATAGAATCTGAATCACATGCACCACAAGGCCTATGCAGCCTCAACTTAAGATGGCTCCCTGGCCTGGCTTTGCACTGCAAAGTTTGCAGCAGCACGTGCAACAAAATGGCATCCAGCATTCAAAAAACCCCTCAGCTTGCATTAACTAGCCACACACAAGGCATGCAAGCTCCACCCCCCAGTCGTTCTTAGACTTCTTATTGGGGGAGCAACGCAGCCAAGCAACACAGTTAGAGCCTCCCTTCTCCCTGGCCGGCAGGCAGGGAAGGAGAGGAGCTGCTTCCTTTGAAATTTAAGGGACATTTAAGGGCCATCCATCAATAAGGGACAGCAGCAGGACATGGCACTGGAATAAGGGACTGTCCCTTCAAATAAGGGACACTTGACAGCTATGCAGTAAAGGCACTTGGGAGGTTGGGCTGACTGGCTTGCTGAGGGCACACATGCCAGACATCAGAGATAGTGGACAATAAGGAAAAAGAAGCTCCAAATAATCACGGAGCTGTTCTACATGTACTACGCACATCTACAAGGGAACACTCATATCAATCATCACTTTCCTCTTGCAAAGAGCTGCATACACATTCCATGGGGTTTGGGGGGACTGGAAAACGTCTCAGAATTTCTATGTCCGTTCTTTGTTCAGAAACTGGCTGGGAGATTTGCACATTAAGAATTCTGGGAAATCCCTGTAGGATGGTTGCCACCTATGCTTTTGCATAATGGTGTAAATAATCTGCAAATGATGCCAGGACTGCAACTCAGGACACCCATGCCTCAAGGACTGCCTCTCCCCATATGAACCAACCCAGACCCTGTCATCGTCCTCGGAGGTCATCATCTCCTCCACAAGAGGTCCAGAGGGTGGCAACATGAAAATGGGCCTTTTCTGCTGTAGCTCCCTGTTAGTGCGTTGCTCTCCCTATAGAGGCTTGCCTGGTGCCTTCATTAAATATCTTTAGGCACCAGGTGAAAATATTTCTCTATAACCAGCCAAACTTTGGCTGATCAACATTCTATGGCCTTTTAAATGTGTTTGTAGGAGGGGGCGTATTTTTTAAAAAAAATTATTTTGTATTCTCATTTTCTATTTATATGTTCTGAAACACCATGCGATCTTCAGATGAAGGGCAGTATACAAATTTAATAAGTCATTATAATTATATCTGGCATTCAACATGCCGGTGGGTGTCCATGGGAAATCCAGAGGTATCTATGCATTGTCACAGTCACATAGCTGAAATATTGAAGCTAAGCTTCTCCAAGTGCCCACCATAGGCTGAGTTTCCTAGAGGAGGAAAGACAAGTATAAACCTGGGGGAGTTATGAGAATGCCCATAACTCAATGGAAGATCATCACGAGCTCTGTATAAGAAGGTCCCAGTTTCTGTCATTAGCATCCCCATAAAAAAGGATCTATAGTGATGTATGGAAGTGAGAGCTGGACCATAAAGAAGGCTGATCGCCGAATAATGGATGCTTTTGAATTATGGTGCTGGAGGAGACTCTTGAGAGTCCCATGGACTGCAAGAAGATCAAACCTATCCATTCTGAAGGAAATCAGCCCTGAGTGCTCACTGGAAGGACAGATCCTGAAGCTGAGGCTCCAATACTTTGGCCACCTCATGAGAAGAGAAGACTCCCTGGAAAAGACCCTGATGCTGGGAAAGATTGAGTGCACAAGGAGAAGGGAACGACAGAGGATGAGATGGTTGGACAGTGTTCTCGAAGCTACCAGCATGAGTTTGACCAAACTGCAAGAGACAGTGGAAGACAGGAGTGCCTGGCGTGCTCTGGTCCATGGGGTCACGAAGAGTCGGACACGACTAAACGACTAAACAACAACAAAAAAGGATCTTGGGTAATGGGGAAGACCCTCTTCCTGAGAAGCAGGAGAACCATTGAAAAGCAGAGCAGACAGATGGGCAAATGGTTTGGCAAATAAGCAGAAGCTGTACATCTGCCTGGTGGATCTGACATTCATTTCAAGGAGGGTTGCTTTCAAGAAAATCCAGATGGATTTGGGGCCAGTTTCCCTCTTGCATTTTTATGACACAGTGTTCTTTTTTATTTTATTTTTTAAAAAGGACAAAGAAATAGTTCCATTCACTGCCCTGTCTTTCAAATATTTGAAACAAACTTTTGCAAATAACTTCTCCTTAACAGCTCTGGTGGAGCTGATAATTCGCTTGAAACAACAACCTGAAACATTAGGCCTTAGTTGACTCAGTGAGTTTAACATTTCAAAAGCAGATAAGGAGAAAATAAAAGTCTTGGGAAGTAAAAATGGTTTCAAGAGGAAAGAAAAACCATGAGGAAGTGTGGAAGGGGAATTGACAGGGAATGGCAACCCAGTGTGAAGTATTTGCTCCCCTTCCATTGTGTATTTTTAAGAGTGTGTACCGACTACAAGATTTGGTTAGGACCCCAACGTGTAGCTTCAGGAAACAGCACACCTTGGTTTGTGGCATTGTATAGACTGCCTGATTCATCTGGGTCCACAACGCTTCTCCTCTACTGCCCTTCACTGGTACAGGGAAAACAAAATAAAGCTGTAACTCCCCCCCCCTTTGCAGAAGTGGATGAAATTTGCTGGTGTACTAGCAGCTATATCAGAGGTCAGCAACCTATATCAGAGGTCAGCCGGTCGATGCTCCATCTGTCAGAGGATGCACCGGAACATGTGTGCAGGTGCGCTCTTCGGGGTTGGAGGAGCGCATGTGCACGTGCGCACACGCTATTTCCGGCGCTCCTCCGACACGGACGTGCACTGGAAATAGTCTGTGTGTATGCGCACGGACGCTTCTCCGTCCTGCACGTGTGCACACACACTACTTCCGGCCCACATCCGGGTCAGAGGAGCGCCCGTGTGCATGTGCACGGGCACCATCGACCTGGAAGTCAATCCCTGCACTACACCACACTGGTAAGAGCGGGTAGTGGGGGGGCAGCAGGGGTCGCTATGGGCCAGTTAGACAAGCCTCATGGGCCGCTACCAGCCCATGGGCCTTAGGATGCTGACCCCTGCCCTATATATTGGATAAAGCTTGCTAAACTTTGAGCAAATAGGTCCAGAAAGCTTTGTGCTGGACACCTAAAAATTATATTTAGAAATTAAAAAGATAATGCTGATAATTTTAAAGTGGTATCATAGTGCTAGATATGTATGGTGTGGATGCAATGCATTACTAATCGGCAGCACCAATAGCATCATTCTACATTTTAAGTAACATAATTAAATATATACAGAATCATAGAATTGTAGAGTTGGGAGGGACTACAGGAATCATCTAGTCCAACCCCATGAAATCCACCTCTAAACATAAGTAAAAGAACTATGAACCACATAAACAATCTATATCAAAATATATGTTTGAGGGGGTTTTTAAAATAAAATAAAAAACCAGGAGAAAATGATCAAAACCAAATCACATCTAGAAAACTAACCAGTCTGGAAAAAGCATGTCGCAGACTTTGGACTACAGGGCAAAAGAGCCTGGAAAGGGTGTTTTGAAAATGTCTGATTAAACTCCAGCCCTTTGTCAGCCTCTCCCGTATTGCTGTGAAACGTGGCAGAAGCAAACAGCCTGGCTCAGCAGCAATCGCAAATAGCTCAGCACCGGCAATGTGACGAAAAGGCCCTGGAGCCTGGTACTGCCAGTTACGAGGCTGGTTGACTCATACCCTTTCCAGCCATAAACCTGCAGAGGCTGTTGCAAATTGCAGCAACGTAGGGCCAGGGAAGGAGGGGCACTGGCGGGCCCCTCCAATGTGGCTCCAACGGGAGTTGGGCCTCTGGATGAGGATGCTGCTACTCCCCAATATCCATCTCTGGTCTATCGGATGGGTGGAATATATCCTCCATAGATCAAAGCAAGGCAGGAGGGAGGCTTCCTCATTCTGCTTGAACTATGCCTGCTGACCTCTCTCTCTCTCCAGTACCTTCCGTTCATTCCTTCTCAAACTTTAGTGTAAACAAAAGGATCATCCAAGAGGGATCATGAAAGGCCAGGAGCGATAATGTTGATGAAGGCTGCTGGTGAAATATTTTCTGTGTTGGGGAAATGGCTGGAATCGAGATCTCGATAAGGGGTCAAGTCCATCTCCATATATCCTTGGGCATTAACAGGCCTTAGTTGGAGGGCGGGGCTTAGGTAGAATGAGGCTAAGAAAGATAGACAGAGGTGAAAGAACATTACACCAGGGAGCTTCAACTAAGGTCCAGGGCTTGTGTTTTTTTCACCCAGTACTCACCTCTCACTTCTGGCACCACTCAGGTGTGCACCATTGCCGTTCAAAGAGAACGGGGGAGGCATTTATGGTGAGTTCTGGCACCTCTTTTTCTAGAAATATACCACCGCTAAGGTCATATCTATACTAGAGCAATGCCATACCCCCCAAAGAATAATGGGAAATGTAGTTTTTAAGGGTGCTGAGAGTTCCTCTCACAGAGCTAGAATTTTCAGGGTGATTTTATATCCAGTTCCTTTTCCCAAATAACTCTGGGAATTGTAGCTCTGTGAGATGAATAGGGGTCTCCTAAGGGACGCGGGTGGGGCTGTGGGTTAAACCACAGAGCCTAGGACTTGCCGATCAGAAGGTCGGTGGTTCAAATCCCCGCAACGGGGTGAGTTCCCATTGCTCGGTCCCTGCTCCTGCCAACCTAGCAGTTCAAAAGCACGTCAAAGTGCAAGTAGATAAATAGGTACCGCTCTGGCAGGAAGGTAAATGGCATTTCCGTGCGCTGCTCTGGTTTGCCAGAAGCGGCTTAGTCATGCTGGCCACATGACCTGGAAGCTGTACGCCGGCTCCCTCAGTCAATAAAGCGAGATGAGCATCGCAACCCCCGAGTCGTCCACGACTGGACCTAATAGTCAGGGGTCCCTTTACCTTTACCTAAGAACCCTTAACAAACTACCCTTCCCAGAGTTCTTTGAGGGGAGTCATGACTGTTTAAAATTGGTATGAGACTGCCTGATTTCCTCGAAAGGAGATCAGAAAACGCCTGCTATTTAATTCATTCTGATTTGTTTGCAGAGAGGCTAGATGGTGTTGCATCAAAGCCAGTGCTATTCCGCACTTTCTGGCGCATTTCCAGAAATCACTTTCCTTCTTGAGAAAAGGCCAGTCTTTTGTTTTCGTTGCACTGCTACACCTCCCAATCAAGTACAACTGCACAGCCGAATTTGCTGGTATGTGATGAAATCCTGCAAAAAGTGACAGTATAAAAAGCATCCTAAGTCGGCAGTGCAGGAGATATGCCCTGAGCCTGACCAAACTGCAATTCCCAGGAGTCTTTGCAGAGAGCCGTGTATAAAATGAAAAGAAATCTATAGTTTAGCTATACCTTACTGGGTTTGAGCCAATGGAAGTGCTTTCTTCCATTCCTGTTTCCAAGCCAAAGATGGTACATGTTTCCCAGAGCTATGAGCTCCCATCTCCTCCCAAGCTCCTTCCTGTCTAAACTAATAAGATGCTGAGATTTGTCTTACAATTGGCACCCCTTCTCTCTCCACCCCCTCCCCAAATAAAAATCTGGCACTGATCCCAGGAATTCCCCAGTACCAAAGGTTAAGCCTATGGTGAATTAAAAGGTAAGTGTCTTTGTAAACCTTGAAGTCCAAGCCAACTGCCGGCTCCAGGTATCTGTACAATTAATAAAACCTGATTTAAGCTGCCCGTGCCTCTGACATTTCACAGATGTATGAAAGGGAGAAATTGACTTCTGGGATGGTCATTCAAAAGAGTAGCAATGCTGTTTATTAGTAATCTTGTATTTATTTGTTTTTTGGAAAAGGGGGGATGCAAGTGAGGGGGGGAATTGCATTCCCAGAACTTTTCCCATTATGAAGTTGTAGAAAGACAAACTGCTCTTTTATTTTTCGTTGAAAAATAAATAAACCAGCACTTCCACAACTCCATGCCATCAAATACAACAGAAAACCAGAAATGATATACTGGATTGTATCCAATGCACGAATCCTTTGCAAAGAATGACCATGACTAACTTGGGCTCATTGTTTTCAATAGGTCTACTCTGAGTAACACTGAGTTGGATAAAACTACAAAGGCAGACCAATAGTGAGGTGACAGCTTGGTAGTTACTGTTGGTCTGTTGCATGAATGAGTACATTTTATTCTGTCTTTCAAACAAACATACAGTGCAATCCAAATGGGTCTACTTAGAAATCCCATGGAGTTCAGTGGAGTTTGCACCCAGGTTAAAGGGTTCAGGATTGCAGCCTTAAGTCGCTTTTTGCTTATGAGGATAGTGGTGGATATCTAAATATTCTGAGATTGTGTGTTACATTTCTTTCCTGTCTTCTTTGCATGTGGGAACTCAAAATCGTGTTGATAAAGTGGTCTCTAATTCTGGGACTGTGCAGATCTATCTACAGTGGTACCTCGGGTTAAGTACTTAATTCGTTCCTGAGGTCCGTTCTTAACCTGAAACTGTTCTTAACCTGAAGCACCACTTTAGCTAATGGGGCCTCCTGCTGCCGCCGCGCCGCCGGAACACGATTTCTGTTCTCATCCTGAAGCAAAGTTCTTAACCTGAGGTACTATTTCTTGGTTAGCGGAGCCTGTAACCTGAAGCATATGTAACCCGAGGTACCACTGTAGTTTCAGGAAGGCTATGCTTCATCACACCATGCTTTTGGATCAAGATGTTAAAAGGCATCAGTAAGGACTGAACTATTCTTTGCCAATGCCAAATGATAGACCTAATTTTCCTATCCCTTCTTCTGAATTTGACCACTGAGTGTGTTCTCATCATCTCAGGTCACAATTTCTCATAACCCGCTGGTGACCTTATCAAGCCCGTTCCTTGGCAGCTGCCTTCACCATGCTGATCCCACACACCAAGAGACGCAACAGATAAGCACAAAGGCAATCACTGAGCTCTGCTCTGGAGATGACCTTTGCTTGATCTCTCCTTTGGCAGGTCGCACAACAAATACTCATTGGCAAGGGCGATCGGGTTTTTCCCTGCTGGAACAAGATGCCATTTTTAACATGGACAACCAGAACATCTCCACTGGGGCAGGTTGGTCTTCCTGGGTGAAAGTTTCCAAGGCTGGCTCACATGAGATCAGAGCTTTTTCCCTGATAACATGTTGGGACATAGGAACATGCTTTCCACCAAGTCAGACCATCGTCCCCTCGAGTTCAGTGCTGTCTACATTGATTAGCAGGTGGTAGGGGGGACTCCCTGGTCCTGAATGGGGCAAATGTGCCCCTGAAGGACCAGGTGCGCAGCCTGGGAGTCATTTTGGACTCACAGCTGTCCATGGAGGTGCAGGTCAATTCTGTGTCCAGGGCAGCTGTCTACCCGCTCCATCTGGTACGCAAGCTGAGACCCTATCTGCCCGCAGATATCACCAGAGTGGTGCATGCTCTAGTTATCTCCCACTTGGACTACTGCAATGCACTCTATGTGGGGTTACCTTTGAAGGAGACCCAGAAACTACAACTAATCCAGAATGTGATAGCCAGACTGGTGACTGGGAGTGGCCGCCGAGGTCATATAACACCGGTCCTGAAAGACCTACATTAGCTCCCAGTACATTTCCAAGCACAATTCAAAGTGTTGGTGCTGACCTTTAAAGCCCTAAACAGCCTCAGCCCAGTATACCTGAAGGAGCATCTCCACCCCCATCATTCTGCCCGGACACTGAGGTCCAGCTCCGAGGGCCTTCTGGTGGTTCCCTTACTGCGAGAAGTGAGGTTACAGGGAACCAGGCAGAGCGCCTTTTTGGTAGTGGTGCCCGCCCTGTGGAACGCCCTTCCATCAGATGTCAATGAAATAAACAACTATATGACTTTTAGAAGACATCTGAAGGCAGAAGTTTTTAATGTTTGATGTTTCATTGT